TCCGATGGATCCGAATTCTAAACTTCTGCCAGGACAGGGGGAGTCGCTTAGCGATCCTGCAAGCTATAGGCGGCTGGTTGGTATNAGGAAATATGCTTTAGACATTCTTGAGGAGACAGGGATGATAGGTTGCAGACCTGTTGACACTCCGATGGATCCGAATTCTAAACTTCTGCCAGGACAGGGGGAGTCGCTTAGCGATCCTGCAAGCTATAGGCGGCTGGTTGGTATATTAAATTATCTCACAGTGACTAGACCCGACATTTCTTATCCTGTGAGTGTTGTAAGTCAGTTTATGAATTCTCCCTGTGATAGTCATTGGGATGCAGTCGTCCGCATTATCCGATATATAAAATCGGCTCCAGGCAAAGGATTATTGTTTGAGAATCGAGGTCATGAGCAGATCGTTGGGTACTCAAATGCTGATTGGGCAGGATCATCTTCTGATAGATGTTCTACGTCTGGATATTGTGTTTTAGTAGGAGGAAATTTGATGTCCTGGAAAAGCAAGAAACAGAATGTAGTTGTTCGGTCTAGTGCAGAAGCAGAATATTGAGCAATGGCTATGGCAACATGTGAACTAGTCTGGACCAAATAATTGCTCAAGGAGTTGAACTTTGGTGAAATCAGTCAGATGGAACTTGTGTGCGATAATCAAGCTGCCCTTCATATTGCATCAAATTCGGTGTTTCATGAGAAAACTAAACACATTGAGATTGATTGTCACTTCGTAAGAGAGAAGATATTTTCAGGAGATATTACTACGAAGTTTGTGAGGTCGAATGATCAACTTGCACATATTTTCACCAAGTCCCTCACTGGTCCTCGCATTGGTTATATATATAACAAGCTCGGTACATATGATTTGTATGCTCCGGCTTGAGGGGGAGTGTTAGATATAGATATGTAGTTGTCCCACATCGGAATAGGTGTAGTATGCCATTTATATAGAGTAGCTATAAATTAGCACATCTTGTATTGCATTAAACACACAATATCAATATATCATATTTTCTCCCTACCTTCTCACAATAATATTGATGCTTAATCTGACATGTCAATAACATTAATTGACGACATCAAGATACTGCAGAACCTTTAAAGTTGAGCCGCAATGTTTATACAGCAAAAAAAAAATCAAAAGAAGTTTACCAAATTGGGGAGGAAAAGGCAAATGACTATGTAAACAAATGGAACATATCAACAAGGAGAGACAACAAGAAATAGAAAAGATACTAAAGCAGCATGTATAGAGTACCTTTAAAGATGACAAAACTGTGTGACAAAGCCAAAGCAGATCATCTGAAGAATTTTCAGAGCCTTGAAACAGCTGCTCAGCAACAAATGTATTCTGTAAAGAATAGCAATAAGCTAATTCCCTGACAAACAAATTCAGACTATTAGTTGCCCTCGAGACAAGATGCAGAGTATATAAATCCAAACAAAGAATAAATACAACACTTAAGTACTTTGCCCCAACTACCAATACAGTCTAAATTGCCAAAAACATTGAATGCAGCAGAAAATGAAAAGGAACCAGCATGTGTCTTTATTAACGCCAAAGAAACAATGAATGCGCGCCTCTCTACCCCCAAGGGGGTAAGGGTAAGGTCTGCGTACACACTACCCTCCCCAGACCCCACTAGTGAGATTTCACTGGGTCGTTGTTGTTGTTGTTGTAAACAATGAATGCGTGGAAGAAGATGATAATCCTAAGAGAAAAAGTAAAAACTATAATCACTTCAGTAACTGATCCTTCTTCTCCCAACAGCCCCATCCCAAAAAGAATCGGCTCTTTTATGCAAAAATAATGAGCAGTCTTTGCACATAAAATCTAATGAAATGGTGAGAGACACAAAATCAACACAACGCTGAGCACCATTTCTTCCTAAGGAATCCATAAAACTGCTCAACTGATGACAAACTCCTCACCTACCGAAGACACCCAATCATCTACCAGTTAAAACATAATCATCAACAAAAGACACCCAATCATCTACTCGTCAAAATATATAATGAGACAGATCATGCTAACAACAACAACAACAACAACAACGACCCAGTATAATCCCACAAGTGGGGTCTGGGGAGGGTAATATGTACGCAGACCTTACCCCTACCCCGAAGGGTAGAGAGGCTGTTTCCAGGAGACCCTCGGCTCAAAAAAGCAAAAGACAGATCATGCTAAGAAAGATATAAAATACTATTTCACACCAGTCATCATAAAACTTACTCTTTCCTATTTTGACAAAACAACTCCTTCATGACCAATCCATTTTCGCTGAGTATCCACAGCTTATTTGGAGTAAGTTTTACATCAATGACTTCACCCTGAGGCTAGCCAAAAAACAGTAATCAAACATAGCTAGCAGTAACGATTCCCTAAATAGTGAATACTTAGATTAATCACGATATCTAAAGCAAGCTGCTCTTTGTCAAAAAAAGAACCTACAAAAAACTGTTACCTCTTCCAATGAGATGCTTTTTGTTGAAGGATCCAGTAACAAGTTAATTCTGTCTCCAGTACTGAAATAAAGGCTATACAAAGAGATCATCGCTGTGCCAACTTCCTTAAATAACCCAAAGAAATAAGTCAAAGTTAAAGCTAAAGTTATACGCATACAAAGGGCAAAAAGTAAAAATCCAACAATTGAGCACATAGCAAGTCAATCAAAACCACTGTGGCCATACTGAACAATCTGCATTCGAAACATCCAATATTGAGAAGCTAAAAAGAGTGGAATACACTAAAGAAAACTTACAAGAAACAAGAATCAGGCCTAGTTATGATGAGCAAGTACAAACCTAATAAGTCATTGGACTGGTTGATGAATGATGACGTTATGAATGGTGAGAATGCCAGAGAAATCAGCTGGAACGTATGGGAACAAATTCTATTTATAGGTGGTGGGAGCCACCTCTAAGCCATATGGTCCATCTAAATCCTCTATCACCTAGTGATCATCTAGCCAAGACCATTTAAATTCCTTTAAAAACCCTTACACAACTTGAGCAACAGGTGTAGCATTTCTAACACCATTCGTGTGTAATCCATTTCTAAGGTTTACATGTGGACTTGGTTTTTCTTTTTATGCTGCCTTTTACTATTGCTTTTTTTAATTATAACAATTATTATTATTATTATTATTTCTGCAAGTACAGAGAGAGGGGATTCAACAGGAATAGGCTTTGAATATGAGGAGAGAGATAAGGCTCAACAAGCTAATGAGTAGGCCTGGAGCAATATTAGTGGCTCGATAGGTTGAATTGAGAAAGAGAGAAAACTCCAGAGCAGCTCTATGGATTGAGTTGAGAGAGAAACATAGAGCAACAGCACATGAATATTGAAAGCACTGTGCAAACGGCCTCAGCAAAGATTGGCTTTGATACCATTTAAAAGAATCTGAGCATTCAACCCAAAACCTTAAGACAATGGTGGAGTAGCCAAAGGCCAAAGACCATTTAAACTCCTTTGGAAACCCTTAAGACAACCAATGAGGGACAAAGGTAGCAATCTCCAACAACAACCAACTAATTTCAAGCTACTTGTTACTTGTCAGTCAAAACTAAGCAAATATAGAGCTCATGACGACTACCAAATAATTTCACATTGACAAAAGGTTACATCAGGTATTAGCTGCGAAAAAACTAGGCATTCCTTTATTAACTACCATTGGAAATGATGGAACTCCTCTAAATTCATCTACAACTGTTAAAAAGTTTAAGGAAACAAGATACATGTTGTGGTATTACGGTAGAAGACACCTAAATACTTTTTTCCAGATGATATAGCAATTTACAAAAGGAGCGGCTATTTTTGGCTAAATGAAAATATTTGTGGTGCATGAGCAATCTCAACACTGTAATCAAGGATGACAATATAGCTACAAGAAACTAACTTACTAAATGAATGAACATTGTGTGGCCAAAATGGTGACTATGCACCAAATCAGAGCAAAGATACTGAAAAGAATTGAAGGCAGACCCCCCTACAACCCAAGAAGTAGAGATGAACAATTCAGTTTCCACGAGAAAAAGAAAAATAACATCAAGTGCACAAATCACAATATCGTCTTCTTATTTTACTAATCAAGCACATATCTGATGTAAGTTGGAGGTTATTGCAGAATTATACGTGCTATGAGATTCGCCAAATAAAGAAATGACAAGCACAAAGTAATAAGGCAAGTATAAGACAGGAAAAAAGAGTGTTATCTTACTTAGAGTAGCTCTTTGCAACATATTTTTCCCGACATATCTACACTACTACGCAGAAAATACCCAACAGATACAAAAGAAAGTACAAAGAAAAATGAAAATCTACAGAAAGACATGAATAAACTAGGGATGCACTTACCGAATCATCTTTTCGTAGTACTGCCAGAGGAATTGCATCAGGATTGTTGTGGTCGCTTCCCACCCATATCCTTACAGAACTAGAGCCTACATGCAAAATGAAGTAAAGAAAATCTTATATAAATCTGCAAGCATTGCCAGGAACCCTTTCTAATAATGAAAAAAATGGAGTGACTGTTCCAAATAAATATTAAATAGCATCATGTTCGCAATTTGGAATGAAGGGACCTTATCCTTTAAACAGCTTCCTGTTCCTCTCCCTCCAGATTCTCCACATTATAGCACATAAACTGGTTGAGAATTTAGAGACAAAAAACTTCTAATCACTATGGCTTCACTTGGATGTCCATAAAGTAGCTAGAAAAACTATTTCTTGGAAAATTTGCGATAATTTGAAGGAAAAGGAACAAATTTTTCTTGTATGTGCTTTTTGGAAGGAAAGGAAGGTCTAAAATAAGAAAAAATTGACCTCCCTTCAAGAACCCTGAAAGTTGTGCAAGGCTTAGCTGGGAGTGAAGTCTTCTTGTGGGAAGGTTTTGGCACTTCTCACATAGCTTGCTTGCTTATCAAACACAAAAGGAGCAAAGTTAAGTTTCCTACACCTCATTTTGCTTTCTTTACAAAGAAATATACCTAACGGAGTATTGACACGTAAATGGATACCGGCAGATCGTCAGTACATTTATTCTTAAACCTCACAGTAATGACTACAAATTAACATATTCTTTGATAGGTCATCCAAAATAAAACCCTACTCCGTTGAGTATATACAGTAATTTTTCCTACTAAAGGTAGTCTATACATGCCTTCCCATAGATTGACACCACAGATGGGACGCGAGACGCATCCCCTACGCCCTTGCCCAAAAAAGAAAAATTTGATCCTATTTTAGGGGCACCGGGAAGGCTCCCCCCCCCCCCCAAA